CAAGCTGTTTAATTTATTGTCTTTGAATAGAAAGCTCGATATCTCTGTCTTGAAACCTCTCTGCAAAAAAAACCAAAACAGAATACATCTCTTAAAGCCATGGAATTGTTACTAGTTGAAGACGAGAGAAATAGGTTCTGTTTGATGGAAGCCAAAAATCATCCCGTGGACATTGTTGCAGGAGTTTCTCAGAGCAGCATTCAGGACATTATCTTAGCTGCTTCAACAATGACATTTCATCCATCATAAGATCAGAACTAACAATGATGATTACATCATGTTCAATTTCATTTTGTCAGTTTTATGTTACAGTTTAAACTCAAACCCCAAAAATTATTTCATCATTTGAGACTTTCAACAATAAAGCAACAGAGATAATCTGGTGTAGTAAGTGAGGAAACTTTACTTGCATTGTAAATAACACTTATCAAAGCAAAACAGTGAGTTTACGGGCATACTGCAGCTCTTGCTTTACAGTTCAGTTTTGAGCATTGGGCTGCCACTCAGTCTTTGTTCTCCCACCAACACTTCTGGAGTCTTCTACTTCCAACTGGACATCAGGCTCTATTATCTTCACACTTGATGTGTGCTTTGGTCACTGAAAGCTGTAGCTTTATTTCCATATGTCCAGAAGTGCTCTTACACAGGACTGAACATTTTGTTCCCACAATAATCAAATCACCCGTGGTGTTTTTCCATCTATTAATCATGAAGCTGCAGATTATTCACTGTCCAAACCTCAATCCACAGTATGATCAATAATATCATTGCATTCTGATTGGCTTCAGTGAACAAGATTCATTCCTAATTGGTATACTTGATCTATTTCTAATTGGCTTCCAAACGTGATAGACATTCACTGGAATAAATTCTCCAGAGTGTGCTGGAGAATCCAAGCAGGTCTGGTAACATCTGTAGAGAGAGAAATAAAGAGTTAATGTTTCAAGTCTAGTATCTTCAGAGTAATGGCATTTATTCTAATGACAGAGGGGAAGGAGGAACAAGTGGACAAATAGTGAACATGCACAGAGTAAAAGACAAAGGCAGTACTAATGCTGATGGAGTGATAGAAACGATTATTATCACTGCCTTTTGCTCTGGACACACTCACCATTTCTTCCACTTGCTCCTCCTCCCCCTCTGTCAGTGCCATAAAAAATCATAATTTTCCAGTTCCTTTAAGTTCTGAAGAAGACTTAGAATGTTAACTATTTCTTTCTCCACAGGTGGTGATTTTCTCCAGAAATTTCTGTCTTATTTCAGATTTCCAGCATGTACAGTATTTTATTTGTATTTGAGAGATTGACTGGTGTCACCTCCCAGTATCTCCTGACTTGTTCCTTAAGGTGTCAAAAATCCATTGGCCCATCCTCTTCATTCTGATTTGTGGTGGTACAGTGGTTAGCACTGCTGCCTCACAGCACCAGGGACCCGAGTTTGATTCCACCCTCAGAGGTTGGTTTCACATGTAAGCTTGAGCTTGAATGATATAAAGAGGACAAAGTGTGAGAAGCTGTATTTCACTTTTCAGGCATTTTGGTAAGGCACTTTAGTTTTCAACTGGTGTTATGGTGGCTCTGTGGTTAGCACTGTTGCCTCACAGCACCAGGGCCCCAGGTTCAACTCCACCCTCAGGCGACTGTCTGTGTGGAGTTTGCAATTCTCCCCATGTCTGTGCGGGTTTCCTCCGGGTGCTCCAGTTTCCTCTCTCAGTCCAAAGATGTGCATGTTAGGTGGATTGGTCATGCTAAATTGCGTAAAGTGTTCAGGGATGTGTGGATTAGGTGGGTTATAGGGATGGGTCTGAGTGGGATGTTCTGAGGGTTGGTGTGGACTTGATGGGCTGAAGGGCCTGTTTCCACACTGTAGGGATTCTATGATTTATTAATTCTACTTTTTTGACTCCTTACTATGATACGACATTCATTTAGGATAGCGATGTATGCTTTTAGGCCTCTATGCTTGACACTCTTGAGCTCAGCATCTCAATGTTTGCTTAATTGGTGCAAGTTTCTCATTCAAACGGACCATTTGCATTTCAGGGCTATTTGTTAGGTGATTTTTAAGTTGATGGTTGTGAATACCTGGAATGGGTTTCTTATTGATTTTTAAAGACAAAGGTTATGTTGGAAAAGATTGTTAATAACTTATAAAATTATATAAAATCAATGCAGAAAACAGCAATATACAGAGCGTGTATAAAGGGTGAAATAGTGAGATATCATCATACATTCTGTCAGCACATACTCCTGAGTAATACATTTTGAAACATTATGCAATTAAAAACTTAAACACATATCTTTCCAAGAGTTAACTCTAATTTAAAAATTAAGTTCAGTCAAATCTAATTGCTACTCTCCTATTACAAATCAAAGCAAAACCAGTGCAGCGCACAGTATTACTATGATTTTCTTCCCCCAGTAACTCAATTTGTGCTTTCTCTGTTGCCTGAAATGACTTAATGAGCTGAGAGGGTGTTAACTTAACCTCACTCAACATTGAAGGTTGCACATCCTTGTAATTCGCTTTCGTGAAATGGAAGTACGCTAAGCCAGGGTCCTTTGTATTTGTCCTTTAATTTTGAAGGTAACATCAGTGTGTTACCTTCATTCTGTTCAAAATCTCATGGTGCATTCTTTTGTTAAGTAAGGCTAAGCAGAGTCACATGATATTTGAGTACTAAAATCTAGATTGATTACAGTCAAACAGAATAATACAATATATTAATCAATGAATGCACTTTGATTGGATAATTTTAAGTAAACTAAATTAGTCATGAAATGTTCGTTTCTCTGCTCGATGTTTCCGTGCTGTATGACTTGATGACCCTATCTGCAAATAGCAACACTTCAGATATTGAAGCAATCTGAAGGTTCCTGCAAGATATTGGGTTTGCAACTGGCAAATAATATTTGTGCCACACAAGTAGTAAGCAATACATGCCTACACGACGAGATATTGCAACCACCCTCTCGATGCTCAACAATACCATCAGTGAATCCCCCACCATCAACATACTAACTGTAAGAGCAGATCAGAGACTGGGTAAACTGTTGCAATTAACTCATTATGTACTAAACAAGTGGGAGCTGCACTGTTGGGACAGCCATCACCTGAAACTCGTTCTGCCCAAGGCGTGTACCTAGCCTGTAGGAAAGCTTAGAACTAAATACTCAGGTGAAAGATCGAGTTTGGGAACATGTGGAAAGTAGAGAAGACAAGGCAATTGGGCAATGTAACAACAAGGGAAACAATCAGTCCATGCCAGGAAGGGACGGAATGCACCCAGGGATAAGAGTAGAGGTTACAAAAATAGTGAAAAGACAGAACTAAATGTTTTGTATCTTAATGCATGTAGCATTCATAAGAAAACAGATAAATTGACATTACAAATAGAAATAAATATTTATGATCTGATATCCATTACAAAAGCATGTCTGCAAGATGACAAAGTTTAGGCCATGAATATTTTCAGGTCCATGACATTTAGGAAGGACTGGGAGATAGGCAAAGATGAATGGGTGGATCTGTTAATTATGAATGACATTGATACAATAGAACACAATTATCTTACTTCTGAGGTCAAAATGTAGAATCAGTTCAGGTAGAGGTGAAAAATGGTAAAGTTAAGAAATCACTTATGGGTTTGATTTATAGTTCCTCAAACAGTAACCATAATATATGACAGTGATACAGGGAAATAAACAAGGAGCTTGTGCAAGAGATATGGTGATAATCAGGAGTGATTTTAATTTAATATAGATTGGATAAATCATATTGTCAAAGGTAGCCAGAATGATGAGTTCATATGGGGATTTGGCACAGTTTCTCAAAGCAGAATGTTCTAGAGCCAACAAAAGAGCACAGGCTATATGAGATTTGTTAATGTGCTTGAAACAGGACTAATTCATTAACTCATTGTGAAGGTTCCTGAAGGTAACAGCAATCATAATATGATTGAAAGTCACGTTCAGTTTGAAGCAGAGAAGAGTGAATCTAAAGTTAGAAGAGTGCTTTAAATGGAAGTAAGGGAAATTATGTGGGCATGAAGACAGAGTTGGCTACAGTTGACTGATTAGTTAGTTTAATAGATGGTGGTAGAAATGCAGCAGCAATTTAAATTGATTTTTTAGAATACTGGGAAGATATATTCCAGTGAGAATGAAAGATTCTGAGGTAAGGATAGGCTTTCCAATACTAACCAGGAAATTAAAGCTAGAATCAATTTGAAAGAAAATCACAGAGTTCTTCAGAAACTGGTGACAGGTCAGAAGATTGGACAATATATAGGGAGCAGCAAAGAATGACTTGAAGATTAATAAACTGGAAGAAATTAGGGCATGAGAGAAAGCTCGCTAAAATATAACAGCAGATGTTAAGAATTTCTACAGATATTGGAAAAGGAAAAGAATAAGCAAAGTGAGCTTTGATCCTCTAGAATATGTGTCTGGTGAATTAATAATGTAAAAATAAAGAAATGGCAAATGAATTGAACAGAGGCTTTTCATTTACCTTCAATGTAGCGAATATAAATAACATCCCAGAAATAATTGTGGACCAGGAGATGAAAGACAGAGAGGAACTTAAAATAGTTACCATCACTAGGGAAACAGTACTGAGAAAAATATTAGAACTAAAAAGTTGACAAGTGCTCAGGTCTTCATGGGCTTCATCTTAAATCTTAAAACAAATGGCTGCTAAAATAATATTTTAGTAGATAATTTTCTAAAATTCCCTAGATTCTGGCAATGTTCTAACAGATTAGAAAATATTGTATGTGAGTTCTGCTTTCAAGAAAGGACAGAGGCAGAAAGTGAGAAACTATAGGCCAGTTACCTTAATATCTGTAATAACGTAAATGCTGGAATGTAAGGGACTAATTTATTGTAATGTTTGACTAATTTATTGGAGTTCTATGAGGAAGTGGCAAGCAACATTGATAAAGGGGAATGTATAACTGTCCTGTGATTATATTTGCCACTTTTTATATTCGTTCACAGGATACAAGCACTGCTGGCTTGACCAGCATCTATTGCCCACCCCTAATTGGCCAGATGAAAGTTAAGAGCCAAAGACATTGCTGTGGGTTTGGAGTCACATGTAGTCCAGACCAGGTAAGGATGTAAGATTTCCTTTCCCAAAGGACTTTAGTGAGCCAGATTGGCCTTAATGATAATTGATAATGGTTACATAGTCACCATGAGGCTAGCTTTTTATTCCAGATTTTTTACCTGCTATGGTGGGATTCAAAACCAGATCCCGAAACATTACCCCGACATTCCGGATACTCATCCAGTGATGCTACCACATCAACTCCTCAAAACAGAGGATTAGATAGGGTGGACAGTGAGAGCCTTTTTCCTCGGATGGTGATGGCTGGCACGAGGGGACATAGCTTTAAATTGAGGGGTGATAGATATAGGACAGAGGTAGGTTCTTTACTCAGAGAGTAGTAAGGGCGTGGAATGCCCTGCCTGCAACAGTAGTAGACTCGCCAACTTTAAGGGCATTTAAATGGTCTTTGGATAAACATATGGATGATAATGGAATAGTGTAGGTTAGATGGGCTTCAGATTGGTTTCACAGGTCGGCGCAACATCGAGGGCCGAAGGGCCTGTACTGCGCTGTAATGTTCTATGTTCACAGAATAAGAGTTAATGATGTATTGGGGAACATATTGGTATGGGTGGAAGGTTGATTAGATGACAGGAAACAGCGAGTCGACATAAATGGGTCATTTCAGATTGCCAAGACATGATGAATGGAGTATCATATGGATTAGTGCTGGGCCATCAACTATTTTAAATGATATAAATATATAAATAGATGTATAAATATATCAATGATTAGGGTGAAGGGACCAAATGTATGGTCGCTAAATTTACTGATGACTCAATGTGGGAAAATAAGTTGTGAACAGCCAACTTTGTCTTCCTGCACTCATAATTCCCCTTATATAAGTTTAAAACTTTAGTTTTAGATCCCTCTTCTCCTCCCTCAGACTGCATTTGAAGCTGCATGATATTATTAAAGACTATTACATAGGGGAGAAAACAGATATAAACAGGTTATCTGAGTGCGCGTAAGATAGGCAGCAATAATGTGGATGATATTATAATATAGAGACTACAGTGTCGGAAAATATGTTCAGGATGAGTGGAAAACAGTATGTTTTTTAAATGGAAAGATACTGTGGAACTCTGAGATGCAAAGGGATCTGGGTGTACTGGTATATAAATCACACAAAGTTGGTATGGACATGCAACAGTGATAAGTAAAGCAAGTGAAATGTCATTATTTAGTACAAAGGGAATGGAATATAAAAATGGAGATGTTTTCTTAAAGTTATTCAGTGTGATGGTAAGACCACATCTGGAGGATTGTGAATAGTTTTGGTTTCCTTCTTTAAGAAAGGATAAAAATGCACTGGAAATGGATCAGAGAAGGTTCATTTGCCCAGTATAAAAAATCTGCAGATGCTGGAAATCTGAAACAAAAACAGAAATTGCAGTAGAAACTCAGCAGGTCAGGCAGAATGTGTGGAGTGGAAACAGCATCAACATTTCGGGTTCAGTGACCATTCTTCAGAATTTCAGCAGTTCTCCAGTAATTTCTGTTTTTGTTTCAGTTGACTAATATCTGGGATGAAGGAGCTATTTTATGAGGAAAGGTTGGGCAAGCTGTGCCTGTGTTCATTCGAGGGCAGAAAGTAAATCAGAAGATAGAAAAGGCATGTAAGAAAGCCACTATTACAATAATCACGACAAGGGCTTCAAAATATATGTGGACTCGGAAAATCGAGTTAGAGGATCCCAAGGAAAGGAATTCATGGAATGTCTACTGGATGCTGTTTTGGAGCAGTTTGTGGTAGACCCTACTCAGGAACAGGCAGTTCTGCATTTGGTGATAGGTGTGCTTGATGGAGACGGTTAAGGAAAGGAACTGCTAGGGAACAGTGAGCATAATATAATAGAATTCACCCTGCAGTTTGAGACAGATAACTTGAATCAGATGTAATGATAATACAATTGAGTAACATTAGCTACAAAGACATGCAGAGCTGGCCAGAGTTGATTGGAAGAGAGAAGCATAGAAGGGAAGATGGTGGAGCAGCAGTGGCAGGGGTTTCTGGGGGTATTTGGGGGGCACAACAGAAATTCATTCCAAGAAAGAAAAAATATACTAAGGGGAGGATGAGGCAACCATGGCTGTCAAGGGAAGTCAGGAACAGATAAAAGCAAAAGAGAAAACATACAATGTGGTGAAGATTACTGAGAAGTCTTTAAAATCCAGCAGAGGATAACTAAAGAAGCAGTAGTGGGGAGAAGATGAAATTGAATGGTAGGTTTGCTAGCAATATAAAAGAAGATTGTAAGAGTTTTTAGATATATAAAAGGCAAGAGAGAGGCAAAAGCAAATACTGACTGATGAAAAATGAGGTTGGAGAAGTAGTAATGGATAACAAAGAAATGACAAAGGATCTGAACAGGTACTTTGCATCAGTCTTCACGATGGAAGACACCAGGAGAATACCAGAACTTCAAGAGAGTTAGGGGCAGAGGTGAGTTTGGTGGCCATCACGAAGGAGATGGTGCTGGGGAAGCTGAGAGGTCTGGATAAATGACCTGGACCGGATAGATTAATCTCCAGGGTTGAAAAGGAGATAGCTGAGGAGATTGTAGAGGCATTGATGATGATCTTTCAGGAATCACTGGAGTCAGGGAGGGTCTCAGAGGACTAGAAAATGGCTAATGTTACACTCCTGTTTAAGAAGGGAGGACGGCAGCAGATGGGAAATTATAGGCTGGTTAGCCTTATCTCAGTTGTTAATAAGACTATAGAGTACATTATTAAGGATGAGATTGCGCAGTCCTTGAAATGCACAGTAAAATATGGCTGAGTCATCACAGCTTCATCAAGGGGAGGTCATGCCTGACAAATCTGTTAGAATTCTTTAAGAAAGTAATGAGCAAGTTAGACAAAAGAGAGCCAGTGGATTCGATGCATTTGATTTTTCAGAAGCCTTTGACAAGGTGCCACACAGGAGGCTGCTAGATAAGAGCCCATGGTGTTAGGGGCAAGGTATTGGCATGGTTAGAGGATTGGCTGACTGGAAGAAGGCAGAAAGTGGCGATAAAGGGGTCTTTTTCAAGATGGCAGCCAGTTACTAGTGGAGTTCTGCAGGGGTCTGGGTTGGCACTATATCTATTCATGTTATATATTAACGATCTGGATGAAGGAACTGAGGACATTGTTGCTAAGTTTGCAAATGACACAAAGATAGGTGAAGGTACAGGTAGTGAAGGGGGCATTGATGCTACGGAAGGACTTGGACAGGTTAAGAGAATGGGCAAAGAAAAGAAGTGTGAGGTTAAGTACGTGGGTAGGAAAATAGAGATGTAGACTATATTCCAAATAGTGAAAGACTTTGGAAATCTGAAGCAGAAAGGAGCTTGGGAGTGGTAGTTCAGGATGCTCTTAAGGTTAACTTGCAAGTTCATTTAGCAGTTAGGAAGGCAAATGCAATGGTAGCATTGATTTCAAGAGGCTAGAAAACGAGAGCAGGGATGTACTGCTGAGGCTGTATAAGACTCTGATTAGACTTTATTTGGAATATTGAGAACAGTTTTAGGCCCCTGTATTTAAGGAAAAATGTGCTGGCCTTGGAAAGGGACCAGAGGAGCTGTACAAGAATGATACCAGGGATAAAGGGCTTGTCATATGAGGAACAGTTGCGGACTCTTGGTCTGTATTCAATGGAGTTTAGAAGGAAGAGGGGGAATCTCATTGAAACCTCCAGAATACTGAGAGGCCTGGATAAAGTGGATGTGGAGAAGATGTTTCTATGAGCAGGAGAGACGAGTGAAAGGATGATCCTTTAGAACTGAGATGAGGAGGAATTTCTTCAGCCAGAGAGTGGTGAATCTCTGGAACTCTAGGCCACAGAAGGTCGTAGAGGCTAAGTAACTGAGTGTATTTAAGAAGAAAGTTAGGTTCTTTATTAGTTAGGGTATCAAGGGTTACGGGGAGAAGGCAGGAGAATGGTGTTGAGAAACATATCAGCCATGGTTAAATGGTGGAGCAGCTTTGATGGGCCAAGTGGCCTAATTCTGCTGCTATATCTTATGGTCTTGTAGTCTCATGAACATGTCTACTCCTGACTGCATGCAGCATTAATTCAAGAGAAATATCATTGAACCACCAAGTGCTGGTTTGCCTTTCGTGAATTCATGCTGAACACCTCCTAGATGCTCAAAATTCTATTTCTTCAATGACTCTTCAAGTGTAGACTACAGAGCACGTCATGTGGGTATGCATAAGCTTGAAGATAAAAAAATCCCAGTAGGATATTTGCAATGATTGAAGCAAGTTAAAATCTGAGCCACTAACTTTAAATTACAGATTTGCATACACAGTATTCTATGCCCTCTCACAGCCCACTTTCTGCACCTGGTTCAAAAACGATCTTTCGATTTGCAATCAAAGTGATTGCTGCAATTATTAGTAGGGATGTAGATTTAACGTAATTTCAATAAACTTCATCTGTGAAATTCTTCAGAGCTCCTGTCACTCTGTCGGAATTCATTTTACGAGAAGTGTGACGAGCCCCATTTAAGTTCACAAACGGCCATTGTCCACCAGCATTTTCATGAAGTAATGTGGGTGGAGTGGGAATTTCTTGGGTTTTGTTTTAAATCTGAACAAAATGACTCACCAGCTTTCTTCCCATTCTCTGTTTACTGAGAGTGACCGTGTCGTTGATTACCAACACCAACGAATGCTTAGAGGAAAATACTGTTTTCTCCAGCAATGTGAGAAGCTGCTTAGACTCTTTTGGGCTGAGAAAACACTGTGAAACAGATTTCTGTGAGCACAAAAGCATATGCTTTTGTAAAATGTTGTTTCAAGGAATTCAGTTTAATTCTGAAAAATACATCTGAGAATTTGTTTTCTTAAATTACAGATGATCGGTTCAATTATCAGATGAATCAGAAGAAGCAAGGTACTGAACTGGAACTTTTGTTTTTTATCAATGAGCTTTTTTATAAATGTTTCTTTGATATATTGTACATATATATGAATATATCATATGAATTTATGGATATATCATATATATTTTAACTTGCACAATATAGCAACATGATTTGAGACATTTGGAGAGCATTGTGGATAGCATGCTATTGAGATTTGGATTAAATGAGGCATCGGTCTCCCCAAGAAAACTCTTTTTTAGAGTGAACATGAGCAAAACTCATTCAGAAGGATTTTGTTATTATAAAGGAGCACTTTAGTGGTTTTTAGTTCCACAACTAGTATCCTTAGAGGTGGAGAACAGTATGAAACCTCCATAAAGTTTAATAAATAATAAAGAACACAGTTCCTCAGATAGTCTAACATTTTCCAGAAGGATTTTTATAATTCTACAGTAGGAGTTTAAAACAATAAACACGTGATGAAAAGGGAAATGACTTCACAATTTTGAAATCTATTGACATGTTTTCAAGGACATAACATAGAAAACTCAGAAATCAGGAAGAAGGTTTGTGATACAATTAAAGAAATTAGCATAGACAGGGAGGAGGTCTGAGTGGCCTGGCAAGCTTAAAAGTAAATAACCCTCCAGGGCCAGATGAAATGTATCCCAGGTTGTTGAAAGAGGCAAGAGAGGAGATAGCAGGGGTGTTTACAAAATTTTCAATTCCTCTCTGGCCATAGGAGAAGTGCCAGAGGACTGGGCGATAGCCAATGTGGCACCATTATTCAAGAAGGGAGGAAGGAATAAACCAGGAAACTACAGGCCAGTCAGTTTTACCTCAGTGGTGGGGAAACGTTGGAAGCAATTCTGAGGGACAGAATTAGAATATATTTGGAAAGACAGGAATTAATCAAGAATAGTCAGCATGGTTTTCCTTTATTCATTCACGGGATGAGGGCGTCGCTGGCTAGGCAGCATTTATTGCCGATCTCTAATTGCCCAGAGGGAAGTTAAGAGTCAAACACATTGCTGTGATTCTGGAGTCACATGTAAGCCAGACCAGGTAAGGATGGCAGTTTCTTAAAGGACATTCGTGAACCAGATGGGTTTTTTTCTGACAATCAACAATGGATTCATGGTCATCATTATATTCTTAATTCCAGATATTTATTGCATTCAGATTCAACCACCTGCCATGGCAGGATAAGCATCTGGCCCCCAGAGCTTTATCTGGATCTCTGGATTAACAGTCTGACAATAATACCACTAGGCCATCGCCTGCCCCATTAAGGGGAGGTCATGTTTGACCAACTTGATTGAATTTTTCAAAGAGGTGACCAGATGTGTATATGAGGGCAATGCTTTTGATGTAGTCTACTAGGACTTCAGCAATGCTTTTGATAAGGTCCCACATGGGAGACTGATAGTGAAGGTAAGAACCCATGAGATTCAAAGAAATTTGGCCAATTGGAACCACAGTTGGCTGAGTGGAGGTAAGCAGAGAGTGATAGTTGAGGGATGTTTCTCTGATTAGAAATCTGTGTCCAATGGGGTCCCATAGGGGGTTCAGTGTTGGGCCCCTGCTGTTTGTGGTTTATATAAATGATTTGGACTTGAATATAGAATGGTTGATCCGGAAGTTCGCGGACAATATAAAAATTGATGGAATGGTAAATAGGGAGGAGGATAGCTTTCGACTACAAGAGGATGTAGATGGGCTGGTCAGATAGGCTGATCAGTTGCAAACGAAGTTCAATCTGGATCTATGCGAGGTGATGCACTTAGGCAGAACAAACAAAGCAAGGGAATACATGATGAATGGTAGGACCCTGGAAAGCACTGAGGATCAAATGGACCTCAGTGTGCATGTACACCGGTCCCTTAAGGTATCAGGACAGATGGATAAAGTAGTTAAGAAGGTGTACTTTCCTTCATTAATTGAGACATAGAGTTTAGGAATAGGAGGTTCTGCTGGAACCGTATAAAATGTTGGTTAGGCCATAACTAAAAGTAACGTGTGCAGTTCTGGAATTCACATTATGAGAGGGATGTGATAGCACTGGAGAAGGTACTGAGTAAATTAACCAACATGTTGCCTGGACTAGGGAGTTTCAGTTATGAAGTAAGGTCAGACAGAATGGGGTTATCTTCCTTAGAGTAAAGGAGATTGAGAAGGGACGTAATTGAGATGTATTAAATTGTGAGGGAGTAGATAGGGTAGACAGAAAGACACTTTTTCCCTTAATGGAGGGATTAATGACCAGGGGGCATAGATTTAACATAACTGGCAGAAGGTTTAGGGAAGACATGAGGAAAATCTCTTTCACACAGAGGGTGGTGGGTATCTGGAACTCACTACCTGTAGGGGTGGTAGTGGGAGGAACCCTTATAGTATTTACGAAGTATATAGACATGCACTCGCGATGGCAAGGCGTACAAGGCTAAGGGCCACGTGCTGGAAAATAGGATTAAAATGGGCAGAAGGGCCTTTTTCTGTGCTGGAGATCTCCATGTCTATGAGTCTAACAAAAAGATACTTTAATGCAAAGATGTGGTTTGGAATGCAGCCCAGATTAATGAGACAGAAATCTCCTATCTACCTTTAATAGTTTGTTCATTGTAGCAAGTAAGCTATCTTAGCGAATAGAAGAACCTATTTTAACTCAATTTGATTCCTATCTATAAACAGTAAAACTAAATAAACTGAATTATCTAAAAATCTCTTTATTAGTTAGGTTCAGACTACAGGTTGCACCTGTTGTTTTAAAGATGCCATAACTTGTGGAAGAGTGAAGTTAAGACAGCAACATTTTAACCACAACTACTTCGGGTCCTTCTGCATTATTTTGATGGTAGTTATTATTTCTTGTAATAATTATTTCTTTGGGTCTGAAATAACTGCACAGAAGCTGGATCCCGTCACCAAGTCACCCTTTTATTTACTAGTGCACAGGATAATGGCTGTGGCCAGCCAGCTCGAAGTCAGTCCTGAACTGAGGAGATTCTATTCTCCTGATTGTATTGGTCAGTCAAGGCTTTCCTGATTGGCCCAGGTTAACAGTGCCAATTGAGAACCTCGTAGTTAGTGAGATCAATCTGATCCCAATCACTACATCCACCACCACCACCTCCCCCGACATCCTCCCACATCTGGGGATGCAGGCCTGGTCTTTTTTTGTAGCTTGTCTTGTGACGCTTTTGACTCGGGTCTGGTTCCTCCGACTCGGACTCAGACACAGTCAGTGTGTACTGAACAGTGGCTCGTCTCTTGGGTCCAGAATGCCTCAGAAGACTCTCCTCCTCTTCTTCCAACAGCAACGGTATCGAGACTGCATCCATTTTGGACTCTGAGGTTTCCTCCACACTAGATGGAGGGGTGGTACCTGCGGTTTTTGCCAGGCCTCTGGCTGTACTGAGGGGCTAGGTATGTTTTGCTCCTGCCCCGTTTGTGAGGTAATGGCTTTCAGACGATCCAAGTGTTTGTTCAGGACTGTATCACTGACCTGAACTTTGTAAGCCACGAGACCTTACCTTGCGTCAACCTCACCTTGTACCCATACAGGGCCCTTTCCATGATTCTGGCTCTAAACTGCATCCCCTGAATTAAATTGTCTCTCTTGCTTAGAGGAGGCATTTAGCTGGCATTGACATTCCTGCTGCCATTTCTCCTCTCCCCCCATCCCACCCCCGGGTCTGGGAATATCAGGTTTAACCTGGTGCAGAGCCTTCTCCCCATTAGCACCTCCGCTGGAGCTATCGCTGTTGTTGTGTGTGGGATGGTCCTATAATCGTACAGGAACTGGGATAGTTTGGTCTCAATTGACGCTGCTTCTTTAAGCCTGCCTTCAATGTTTGAATTGGTCTTTAGGCTAGACCATTGGACGAAAGATGGTACGATGCTGTCCTTACATACCGACTGCCGTTGGACTTTAGAAAATATTTGAATTCCCTGCTGCTAAATGATGTCCCATTGACTGTGACCAGTACTTCCGGGAGTCCGTCTATCTCTAACGATGCTCACAGCTTCTCAATCGTCATCCCTGAGTTTGCTGAATGAACTTTATGCACATCCAACCACTTTGAATGGGCATCTACAATGACCAGGAACACTGGCCCCGTGAAAGGACCGGCATAGTCAACATGAAACCGAGTCCAGGGTTTAGTCGGCCATTCCCATGAATGTTGGGCTGCTGCAGGTGGCAATTTTTGTCCTTGTTGGCACTCCCCCATCAACCCAGCTATGTTGGCATCCAACCCTGGCCACCAGGTATATCTTCTTGCCAGTGTCTTCATCTTGGAAACCCCTGTGAACTTCGGCCAGTATCTGGTGGCAACCTTTACTTGGGACAACCACCTTTGCCATCCTGTACAGTGATCTGGTCTTACCAGGCCCAACAAGGTTTCAACCCTGATTGTGATAGCCATTTTGTTTCCCCCATTACCACCAGCTATTTCAGTTTTGCTAAGGATCTTTTTGTGTCCACAGTCACATATTGTCCACAGTGACTGGAGGAGTGTCAGAAGGTTTAAAACCAGAATGGACTCTTCCAGTAGGGAGCACCTCCAGTGGAGTATCTGTCAGTGGGAAGCTGCTCAAGGCATCCACATTAGCCACTTGGCTTCCTGGATGGTGTTCTAACTTGTACGCTCTGCAAATGAGGGTTCAATGATGAATACTACTGGAAGCTATGAGCGGCACCTCCTTGTCTTCCTTCAGTAGCCCTAGCACAAGTTTGTGATCTGTTACTATGACACATTCCTGTCTGTAAAGGTACTGGTGGAACGTCCTCACAAGATGACCACCAAACCTTCCTTCTCTATCTGGGAATAATTATGTTTGGCATTAGCCAAAATCTGGGAAGCATACATTCTTGGGCGTTCTGGTGAGCCAACACTACCCCGATACTGTACGGGGAGGCATCGCACTTCAGCACTACCTCTCGCTTCAGATTGTAGTTGGCCAACACCTTAGATGATGATAGCTGCTTTTTTACTCCCATGAGGCTGTTTCTTTCCTTTGTGACTATTTCCAAGGCTGGTGCTTTTTCAATAGCAGGTGTAAGGGTGCCAAGATGGGGGCTAGATTACACATGAATTTTCTGTAATAATTCACTAACCCAAGGAAAGACCTAAGCTCCGGCACAGACCTGGGAGCCGGGGCTCCTTTGATGGCCCTCACTTTCTCCTCCAATGGGTGTAACCTGGTTTTGTTGACTCTGTAACCTAAGTAGGTCACTTCAGGCACCTGGAACACACATTTTTCCTGTCAAAGGCACATGCCTGCCTGGAAAGAGCGTTTAAACACAATGTCCAAGTTCTCTAAGTGCTCTTTATTGGTCTTCCCTGTTTTTAGTACGTCATCCAGATAAATGGCAACCTGGGTAGCCCTTGTTAATTGTTCTTCATGGTCCACTGAAAACGAGCACAATCTGATGATATCCCAAATGACAGTCTTGTATATTGATATAAACCCCTATGGGTATTAGTTGTAGTGTACTGTTGGAACTCCTCATCCAGTTGCAATTGCAGGTAGTGGTGACTCATATCCAGCTTTGTAAAGGATAGCGCCCCCACCTGCCAACTTTGCTTACAAGTCCTCAATGTGAGTGATCGGGTATTTGTCCTGCTGCAAGAAGCCGTTTACCATTTGCTTAAAATCCCTCCAAAAATGACCTGAACCACTAGGCCTCACAATTAATATGACTGGTGCTGCTCATTCTACTAACTGCACTGGGTTTGATGATTCCTTTGCTCTCCAGCCTCCTGATTTCTGCCTCTACTTTTGCTGACAAGGCAAATGACACCAAGCAGGTCTTGCAAATTCTCGGAATTGCATCCTGGTCACTATGTAAAGTGGCCTTGGCCCCTTTGATAGGCCCAAGCCCCTCTTGAAAATCTCCTAGGTCTCTCACCAGGACATCATTGAGGCAGCCATTTTCGAACTGAAAAATGTTGAGCAAATCCAAGTGAATCTTTCTCAACCAATTCGGTCCCAAAAGGCTTGGACCCAGCCCGTTACTACAATCAGCAGTAACTGCACCAACTGCTTCTCATTGGAGACTGGAACCAAAGTGGTACCCTTAACTTGCAATGGTTCTCCAGTGTATGTTCTTAGTTTGGCTAACGTCTTGCACAAACTTACAGGTTGGCACCTCGAGCGAATCTTGTTAAAGACTGATTCTGGAACCACAGATACAACTGCACCATTATCGACCGCCATGGGAACTGGGTGATGATTTAACCAAGTATTAATTTTAATTGGCTCCGATTTGGGTTGTCACTGAGCAATTTAATTGTTCTAACCCACATCTAGGGAAACTTTCCAGGGTGTGCACTCTTCTGGGTACCGGCCTCCGAGTCTTCCTACTCAGGTCAGGCCTTGTAGGACTCATTTGCTGTCTTGAGTCTGCATGCCGGCAGCAACCACAATGGCTTGCCGGCCTAGATCCTGAAGAACTGATTAGCCACTTGGCCGAGGCTCGGCTTTGTTGGAGGATTCTGCTGTGGATTGGCCTAGGGTCCCTCTGCTCAGGACATGCCCTGCTTGAGGCTGTGTGATTGCCTATACTCAAGTGGTGTTCCCCAAGCTCAATTGGACAGGTGAGGGTGTCCACTTCCCTGATGCCTGTAGCTCCCATGCTCTACTTCCTGCATTTTCTAATGACAAAGCCAGCTGCAGTGCCTGTTTGAAGTCCAGCTGGGCTTCAGCTATAGGTGCTTCTGCATAGTTACATCATAGATCCCACATATCAATTGGTCTCCTAGTATCTCATTCAGGATTAACTCAAAATCACATGCCTCTGTAAGTCGTCTTAACTTTGTCAAAAATCGCAATAGGGATTCGCCCGGTTCTCTAACAGCCCAATAAAACCAATAATGTCTCAGGATTAGGGGAAGTTTGGGGTTGTAATATTCCTCATCCAACTCTGTCAACTTTTGGAAGGATTTAATGCTGGTGCCTCTGCGAAAGTTAAGCCCCTTACAACCAAAAATGCTGCAGGTCCATACTCAGTCAGAAGCATTACTCGTTCCTTTCCGTCTGCCCCAGTATCATTTGCCCAGAAAAAGTATTGCATTCTTTCAACATACTGGGCCCAGTCTTCCGCAGCAGGGTCAAATAAGTCAAGTTTCCCAATAGAGGCATGATGCTAGAAATGCTTACCCCAACTCCAAGATGACCATTGCAAGCGAATGTTCTTCAAGCACATCCTGTTTTCTCCTGTCGCCACTGAAATAACTGCACTGAGGCCAGCCCCATCACCAAGTCACCTTTCTATTTACTAGTGCATAGTACACTGGCTGTAGCCAGCCAGTTCGGAGTCAGTGTTCAACTGAGGAGATTCTACTCTCCTGGTTATATTGGTCAACCAATGCTTTCCTGATTGGTTTAGGTTAACAACCCCAATCAGGAACCTTGTAGTTAATGAGGGCAACCCGATCCCAATCACGACAGGGATTTAGCAGGGAAATGACTCCTTGGTTTCATAATTTAAAAATAAAAGTTGTGACAATATTTTGAAAGGCCCTGAAATAATGGCAGTACATGTGCTGAAAATTAGTGACTCCATCATGTCTTGTTTGAGATAGTGTTTCATGGTTATGTGGATGAGCCTGTGAAGTAACCCATGATCTAACTGTGACCTCGGTACTCATGTAAAAGTACTCTGCTAGGAGTCTGGAACATATACAGCCGAGAGTCTGCTGTTTGGTGGTCTTGCCAACATAGACACATTGTGAAAAACGATATTTAAAAGTAACCTAAAAATCTGTACTGAGCTTGTATGAAGATCTGAAGAAACAATAATAAAATATTTATTGTGTTTCTAATTTCTTTGGGTGAAATCCCAAATTTGTTTCTGTTCTGTATTATAGACCTCCTACAAAATTAAAACAAAATTGCACCATCTTTTCTGCACTTCTAGTGCTTTACAAGCAATGACACAAGCTTTCATCAAGCCTGAGATCCCAGAGAAAATTGAAAGAGCACTGAGACATCTTATAATGACCATTATGGGAGACTTCAATTCAGGAGATTTAGTACATTCCAGAAAAGGGTGATAAAGAATGGAAAGACCATGATTAGTTAACGAGTTTTGATGGTAAAAGAAGTCTTATTAATGCATTTAAAGCAGAAGTAATTGCAACATCTTGTTTAGAGAGGAAATTATAATAGTAAATGAGGCACCTTCTACCACAAATGCTCATTTATTTTGTGATAAAAGAGCTGAGGACCATAGTTAAGTCAAGGTTAGTGCAGGATAATTATAATGACACATACAGAGTGTACAGCATGGAAACAGATCCTTCGATCCAACTTGTCCTTGCCAACCGGATATCTTAAATAAATCTAGTCCCATTTGCCAGCATTCATATCCCTCTAAACCCTTCCTATTCATGTACCCATCCAGATGCCTTTTAAATGTTGCAATTGTACCAACCTCCACCACTTGCTCTGACAGCTCATTCCATACACACACCACCCTGTGCATGAAAAAGTAGCCCCTTAGGTCCCTATTCAACCTTTCCTCTCTCACCTTAAACCTATGCCTTCTACTTTTGGACTCAGTTAACCTGGGGAAAAGACCTTGTCAATTCACCTTATCCATGCCCCTCATGATTTTATAAACCTCTATAATGTCACCCCTCAGCCTCTAACGCGCCAGGGAAATTAGCCCCAGCCTATTCAGCCTCTCCCTATAGCTCAAGCCCTCCAACCCTGGCAACATGCTTGTAAATCTTTCCTGAACCCTTTCAAGTTAAACACCATGTTTCCTGTACAGGAAGACCAGAATTGAATGCAGTATTCCAAAAGTGGCCTGATCAATGTCCTGTATAGCCACAACATTACCTCCCAACTCCTACAATCAATGCACTGACCAATAAAGGCAAGCATTCCAAATGCCTTCTTCACTATCCTGTCTATCTGTGACTCAACTTCCAAGGAATTATGATCCTGCACTCCAAAGTCTCTTTGTTCAGCAACAGTTCCCAGGACCTTACCATTAAGTGTATAAGTCTTGCCCTGATTTGCCTGTCCAAAATGCAGCACTTCACATTTATCCAAATTAAACTTCATCTGCCACTATGACAGTGATATCACAGGTAAACAGAACAAAAAATGTCAAAACTAAACAAATGGGTCTATGGCTGAATTATATTTCCACAGTATGGCATTTTTCAGTGAGGTGCATTTTATTGAACGTCTGGAAGTGTAAAACCGAAAGCAGACCACCACAATGTTTTTTTTGGCATTTTAAAGGAACATTTTCAGATTCCTTCATGTTACTTTTTGATTATTCTTTATTGGTTGGGTTTGGGGCATTTGAAAAGTATGTTTTTGATAAGATTAGTGTAGAATTTAAGATTGGGAATCAGATTTGTGGGCTTTTAACTTTGATGGCACTGGGATGGAATGGCCATCCAGCTCTTCAATTCACAAATTCTTCTGCAGCAAATGACACGGCTTCTGTGATGGTGTCCTGGTACGTCCTCAACAACACTACTGTGCCTCGGTTATCTGGAAGAAATGGCACTGCGGATGATGGGCACTGGGCCTCTTGTATCTCCTCCATATCCTGATAGGGCATACAGGATGCGTCATCTTCAACAGCCTTATAAACAAAGATGTTAGTGAGCTCCAAAGTGCAGTATTGAAGTGGTGAACTATATTATAAGAGAGTCAGAGATGTGCCATTAATGTATTCAGAGGCGGCTAGATATAGCACTTGGGGCGAATGGGATCAAAGGTTATGGGGAGAAAGCAAGATTAGGCTATTGAGTTGGACGATCAGCCATGATCGTGATGAATGGTGAAGCAGGCTTGAGGGGTTGAATGGCCTCTTCCTGCTCCTATTTTCTATGTTTCTATGTTTCCATATGGTGAGGCTTTTGTCCGATACCAAATTCTGTGGATGTGTGGTGCAGGTGGTTGCTGCCTAAGATGTGCCCTGAAATTTTCAGACGTGCCCTCTAAGATAGTGGCCAAGAGGAAAAAGGGGCCAACTGGAGCCACCAGGAGCCTACTCAGACTTTCATGTCAGGAATTGTTGCCACCTAGTTTTTCTTCACTGCCTGGGAAAATGGCAACCAGTATATAAATGTGGTGAGATTAGGTAATAATGAGATGTGGCATGCAAAGAGGCTCCTTGATATTCATCAGAGAGATTTTCATCTCACCATTCAAAACCTTCGGTGGGAACTTTCGGCTATTTGTCCTGGATGTCATAAATCTCATTTTTCCAATCTTGTCATAGTTTCCCACTCTCTCGCCGTTGCCTATTTGTTCAGGGACTCAGAATATCCACTCTCTCTCTCACTGTGGGTGTAGTGAACTAGCCACAGTTGAAAGGAACCAGGACAAAAGAATTTCAATCAGTCAACAAAGCCAAGTATTTTGAAATCAATTGTTTAACTACCAACGTGAGTATGATTGGTTAAATCCGCCACAAGGTGGATTTATTTTTCATGGATGACTAATTTGTATAACATTTTTTAATCTTTGTCTATTCTTGGACTTACTTCTTATTCATAACCTGTATGTATATATTGTTTAAATATCTCTTATTGCATTTACTAACCATAAACTTACTCTTTATTAATTCAGGAAAGTCTGTTTAATTTGGCTGCTTCTAAAACATAAATGTATTTTGTCTGAAAAGAAGGTATTCACGAGTGAAATAAATCCTTTTTAAACGGCAGGGCTGTGTGAATCAGAGGGGAGCCAATTCTGCCTCCCCACTCGTGAACTTACTCATTTGGGATATCCTGTCTGAAAAGAATTGAGGAACCGGCCCTGGTTGTAACACATAAACCTTTAATCCTGATAATGTAAATATTACAATCTGCTAATTAATATGTTATTTTTACTTTTTTTTCTATAATTTTTGCATTTGATATTTTACTTTCATGAATTGATCATAAAGTGTACTTCTTTTTTCTATCTGAAATGGAAAAGTTCTGAAGATGAAGCATGAGACTCGAAATATCAACTCTGTTTCTCTCTCAACAGGTGCTGCCAGGCCTTCTGAGTTTCTCCAGCACTTCCTGTTTTTATTTGAGGTCTCCAGCACTTCAGTATTTTGCTATTAATCAAACATCCTACAGTACCTGAATGGAGGAATGTACGTCAGCGTGAATAGAATTATTGTTTATATATCACCAGAAATATCTGTGCAGCATACGGAAAATGATTATAGATATATGTTGTAAAGAATCTGTATTGTCTGCGCCAGAATGCTGAAAGCAAACAGTTTCTTTCTAGCATAATGAATAAACAAATCAGTCTTGTAAAAGTCAGCGAAGCAACTAATGAAATGAGATATTGCTTTTCATGCAGTGTTTGTCACCTACGTGTCCAATTTATTTTTGTTGAGCTATAAATGTTTCTGAAATGGGACTGTGTACATCATTGCTTGAGGCATAGTGACCATATGAAGTAAGAAAGTTGGCTTGTCACGCACACATAAATTAACACAAATTGCACTATCCTGGAATCCATTCAATCAGCTCCAAACAACCAACTACTCATGTGTGAACATTCAGTCAGATAAAGACCCATGAACGAAGCACTTGTGTTGCAATAGAGATGCATAAAAAAGAGGGCACACCATTTCTGAATGCAAATATTAAACATTTCATAGAATCATAGAACCCTGACGGTGTCGACAGAGCCATTCAGCTCATCGAGTTTGCACTGACCCTCTGAAGAGCATCCCACCCAGACCCACCCCCACACCATATCCCTGTAATCCTGCATTTCCAATGACTAATCCACCTAACCTACACATCCCTAGATGCTATGGGCAATTTAGCATGGCCAATCCACCAACCTGCACAACTTTGGACCGTGGGAGGAAACTGGAGCACCCAGAGGAAACCCACACAGATATGTCCAAACTCCACACACACAATCGCCCAAGGCTGGAATCAAACCTGGGTCCATGTTGCTGTGAGGCAGCAGTGCTAATCACTGTGCTAGTCCAAAAATAAAATAAAATACTTGTGAAATAAAAAACATGAGTAAGGAGAGTTTTGAGAAATTCACTCCTGAATATTAATACATTAAATGCTTCGCGCTTCTCAGGTCAGGTAATGAAGGCAATGAATAGTGGAGATAAACAAGCTATGAGGTTCCAAATTTTATCTCTGATCTGAGCTTTGATGTCTGGTTTATGTCAGACTGCAGAGCAACAGACATAGAGTTATAGAGTCATAGAGATATACAGCACAGAAACAGACCCTTTGGTCCAACTCATCCATGCCAATCAGATATCCTAAATAAATCTAGTCCCATTTGCCAGCATTTTGACCATATCCTTCTAAACCCTTCCTATTCCTATACCCGCCCAGATGTCTTTTAAACCTTGCAATCGTACCAGCCTCCATCCTTTCTCTGGCAGCTCATTCCATACACGCACCACCCTGAGTGAAAACGTTGACCCTTAGGTCCCTTTTATTATCCTTCCCCTCTCACCTTAAACCTATGCCCTCTAGTTCCAGACTTCCCCACCCTGGGGGTAAGGTTTTGCCTATTTATCGTATCCATGCCCCTCATGATTTTATAAACCTCTGGAAGGTCACCCCTCAGCCTCTGATGCTCCAGGGAAAATAGCCCCAGCCTATTCAGCCTCTCCAGATAGCTCAAACCCTCCAACCCTGGTAACATACTTACAAATCTTTTCTGAACCTTTTCCAATTTCACTATATCCTTCCTAAAGCAGGGAGATCAGAATTGTACACAGCATCTCAAAATTGGCCTAACCAAAGTCCTGTACAGCCGCAACATGACCTCCCTACTCCTGTACTCAGTACATGGCCAATAAATGCAA